TTATGAGACGTGTATAAAGCCAGAATGGTTTGATAGCCGGTTAGTACAGCATACATTTGAATAGCTTGTTGATGTATTTCTTATTCAGACTTTCCACTTCTTCTATTCTTCTAACAGGCGATGTTTGAAGTGATCACTTCCGAGGCCTCTTACTACAACAGCCTCAACGTTCTGGTGCAGCACTTCTACCGCTCGCCTGAGTTTGACTGCGAGACCGCAGCACTTCAATTCGCCAAGCCGTTGCAAATCACCCCATCCGTCAGTTCGATGGCTGTCTCTAGTACCAACGGCTCTGCTGCGACTAAACAGCCTCTTCCAGTCGCCGAGGCGCCAATTTGTCTGACCGATGGAGGTGGTGGTGGCTCAGTCAGATGCTCCTCGTCGTTTTCGTCGCCACAGGTCTCCAACGTCGAGGCTGGCGACTCTCTCTCGGGAGGACTTACGACCTGTTCTGATTCGCCGAGGCGAAATCTGTCCGGAACAACCTTGGGTCCCGAGGTTGTTGTCTGTTCAGCCGACGAGACGTCTTCTGTAACCAGCTCAGATGGTCTAACGACAAGCCCAACTCCTGCGGGCTTGGGAACAGATTCAACCGCTGGGGGCACCGGAGGTGAGACTGAGGCTCCATCGCAGCCTGGCCTGCCCTCGAGCTCGCTGCCAACTGGCCCACAAGTCGGACAAACTACGGGTCGAGTCGGCTGTCTACGACCGCTTGAAAAGCATCACCTCTTCTCAAATGTCCTGCTGATCTGTTTGTCGAGCGAAGCGTGAGTCCGTCGGATTGTACTGTGAGTGTACTGGTTAATCTGAAGGTAGCCTGTCCGGTCTCCAAGGCTATTTTATGCGTAATAGCAATTGCTACATATCCAGCAAGCGGGCTTCTGAAGCGTCATTGCTTCTTTTCATACGAACTAGAATTAGTTTGACGTGTTATGTATGCTGACCTAAATGAGGATAAATTGCGATGCCTTGCTTCCGAAAGGTTTGTTCATCCAGCATGGACTGAAGTTTCCATTTTGC